AATTAACTGTTTTCAAACAGAAGCAAAAACAAAACAGGTTCCTGGGGGTGGGCTATAGAAAATGCAGCTCCAGTCCTTTACTGTCCCTGTGGAGCACATCTTGCTTTAAAAGAACCCCCGCCCGGCCCCGGCAGCACCATGGCGGCGGCAAGAACAAGCGCCGCGAGGGGGAAAAGAAGGGAACAAAGAAGAAAGGGACCCCAAGAGGAGAGTGAAACCCGGCCAGCAAAAGAAACAAGGAAACACAGCACGAGGACCCAGGGAACCAAAACACGATGGCCCAAGGGCGAGTGGAAGTGACCCGACTACAGAAGACGAAGCATAGGAAATTCAAGCTAATTACAGAGGAGCAGGGCAAAAACGCGACAATCCAGGCAGGACTACCCGGGACAAAACAGGTTCCATGGCAAAACCCCCCCCAACCCCCCCCCCGGAATGACCCGGAAGGCAGACAAAGACGAAGGAGGTGGCAAAAATTGATTCCAGACAGCATGGAAAGACAAGAAAAGGCTGCCAGTCCATATCCCTTCATGATGTCTCGTTAGAAAATAAAAAGCTGAAGAAACCCAAGTTTGAATTGGGAAAACCAGGAGCCCAGGTGAAGGGGTAGCTGGAAAACACGGTGATGAGACAGGGCTAAAGTTGAACGGGCTGATGGTATGACCACCAGTCCAAGATCTGTTTAAAATCCAGATTTTTAATAGTGACAAATAAAAAGTTATTTGTGATGAAAGAACTTCCTCCAATGTACCCACCCATCAGCAGTTAAGTCTCCACAAAAAATAATCCCTGGAGAAACATTTGTTCACTGCTGCAAGAAGGAGTCACTAACTTATAGGAGCTGGTTAAGAACATTGCCACTCTTTCAGAGTTCCAGAGGTTAGTTTCCAGCTTGTGTGTCAGGAGATCCACATCTCTCTGTGGCTCCAGATCCAGGGCGTGACACCCTCTTCTGGTCCCTGTGGGCACCTACACAAAGTGAATATACACATCAATATAAATAAACCTGAAATGAGATCAAACGCATCAACATCTAGCTAGGAATAAGGAGTTCAAGAGCCCCACCTCCAACTGAAGAACTATAGATAGCTGACGGCTTCTGGGGGAAGGAGAGTCAGTTTATGGCTCCTGGGAGGTGGCTCACTCTCCAGTGGATAGCTTCATACGGATAGCACCAACAGGACTCAATGGGTTATTTAACAAAACAAAAAGTAACAAAAATAAATGGCATGGGGATACAAGGAGGTTAGGATACAAGGAGAGTAGATCAAGGTACATGGTATGGCTGGGTAGTAGTAGCATACACCTTTAATTCCAGCACTCAGGAGGCAGAGGCAGGCAGATCTCTTGAGTTCCAGGCCAGCCTGGTCTACATAGTGATTCCAAGACAGCAAAGGCTACACAGAAACTCTTGTCCAGGTGTGGGGGGATGATGATACACTGTATAATGTTTTCAAAGATTTAATGAAAATATTTTAAAGAAAGTCACTTAATTGGGATCCAAGTAAGACACAAGAGAAAATGAAGCAGCATGTTCTCATGCCCACCCGGCATTTAACATGCCCCAAAAACCCTCATGAGTGCAGAGCCCAGACTCAGCCTGAGTCCAGCCAGCTACCTCGAAGCCAAATGTCCTTTCCTGTTGGCTGTATATGTGTTGAATTCTAATTACCAACACATTTTTCTTTCAAATTCTAATTTTAATTTTGTTATTAGCCTATTTCAAAAGGGGGGGCGACCTATAGTCCCAGCACTTGGGGGGGGGGGTGAGGGCAGCTATAAAGCAGGAGGATCAGGAGTTCAAGATAATCCTCCCTATGTGGTGAGTTCTGGGCCATTCTGAACTACTACTGCCTGAACCACTACAGTCTGAAGACCCTGCTTCAAAAAAAAAAAAAAAAAAAAAAAGAAAAAAAAAGAAAAGAAAAATCCTTATAGGAGGCAACCATGACCAAAGTACATGGTATCCATGTATGAAAGTGTCATAACAAAACCATTACTTTTTGCAATTGAGGTTATGCTGATAAAAAGAATTAAGATACATACACGTTTTACTTTTAAGTGTTGACTTACATAATATCTTCCCAAAATGCCTAGGCCAATGGATGATTAAGAATTCTTTGTTCACATGCTGCCACCTGGTGACCAAAGTGACAAAGCTCTGAAGGCTACCACAGAAAAAGAAAACCCCTGATGATAAGCTGAAACATGAAGTTATAGCCCTGGCATTCCTAGATACGAGACACTTTGCCTGTAAATAATGGCAACAAGAGGCTTATGGGGGAACAAACCAGCTTACCAGACAGAAAACTTGCTGGTTGTATCCCAGTGTGAAAGAGAAAGTCTCTTTACTGTTTGCTTGCAACCCAACAGCTTTGTTCACCCAACAAAATCTTACTGGTGTCCTACTATTTCCAGGTAGTTCAAATCCCGTTGTGAAGATAATAGAGGACCCCGTGGGAAACGGTCCTACCCTGTAAGGTCGTGTGGCTGTGCCTCACATGGCTTCCACATGCAGCAGTCACCTTAATCTCATTCATGTAAAGATGAGTGGACTCTGTCAGCCTGTCGGGGCAAGTTCAGACAGGTTTACATCCTGGGGCCTCTTTCTACATCTCTTCTCACTCCTGGCATGCCAGAATCAGCTGCATTTGAGAATCTGACCTCCTATACATCTGGGTCCTTGAATGCAAAATTAAATTTCCAGCTGCCATGAGCTGGAGTGTCTGTGGTGTGAAAATACTGTCAGCAGTTGATAAGACTCCAGTGGATCCGCTGGCTCTTCAGACAGCCCAGAAGTGCCTCCTCTGCCCTGGGCTCCACCTCTTACCTGGAGGTGTCTCATAGCCTGCAACCAGTATTCTGAGGGTACTTTCTAGTCAGGCATGGTAGCACATGACTATAATCCAGAACTTAGGAGGCTAAGACAGTTGGGTCTTGAAAGTCTGTGCTACATGAGTTCCAGGCCAGCCTTAGCTACATAGTAAGGCCTACGTAAGTGCTGTCTCTACCTTTCTGCCCCATGTGACAAGTAGGCTTTGCACATGCTTCTACCCCCACAATATTCTGCCTCACTACAGAGCCCAGAACTTTGAAACCATCCATATGAGGCAGCTGTCATTTTGAGTCTGTCTGGTTTTGTTTTACAGGATGATCTCCAGGATATCTGTCTTCCTGCAAAGGACAAGATTTCCTTCTTAGTTATGGCTTAAATGATGCTCTATTGTACACCTCCAAAATGTGAATGCCCAGGTACCCAATGAAACCTGAGACAGTCAGGCAACCCTGCAGCACTGTGTGATTGGGAATTATTCAAGAGCTGGAAACTGAGGCCTGGGAATCAAACAACCTGTTATTCAGTGACAGAATCCTAACTGTTGCACACTCAAATGCTTTCCTTGAAGAGCATTCAGCATGTTGACACCAGGAACTAGTGTATATGAGCTGGGTAAAAGCAGAGCTTCCAGCTGACATGAATGTGAGGTTAACTAACCCATTACCAACGTCCAAAAGGAAAAGAACAATCTAGAAGCAGGTGATAGACATGAGCATTTCTGCAAAAGGGAACAGTGTGTGACACTGACAATGTGTGTGTGTGTTTTCACTCAGAAAACACTTAATTTTAATTAAATACAGTCAATGTCTATCTAATCCTTGTACATTTTGGGTTTTTTTTTTTTTTTTTTTTTTTTGGTTTTTTTTTTTGGTGTTGTTGTTTTGTTTTGTTTTTTGTTTTTTTTTTTTTGTTTTGGTTTTTTTTGTTTTGTTTTGTTTTGTTTTTTGGTTTTGGTGGTATACTTTAACCTCACAATACCCTGGAGGCACAGAATGGCAGATCTTTGCAAGTTCAAGGACAGCCTAGTCCACATAGTGAGTTCCAGGATAGCTAGGGCTACATCCAGAGTTCAGAATGTCTTTCTCCCCGTATGATAACAGCCTATTTGGGAGAAGAGTATTAGGAGATAAATATACCTAAATACTTTGTGTTCTTTTTTTGGTTCCTCCAAGTCATTATTTACATTTTTTCCTCTAGGAGATCTAATTTTTTAAGGTATTAATTATGTATGAATGTGCATGTGTGCATCTGGGTTTGTGCACCGGGTGCAGCACCCATGGAAGTCAGAAGAGGGTGTCAGATCCCCTGGAGCTATGGGTGGTTGTGAACTGCCAGATGTGAGTGATGGGAACAAAACTTCAGGTCCTCTAGAAGAGCAGCGCACACTCTTAACCATTAAGTCATTTCTCCAGCCCTAAAAAAAAAATCTATTTTGGGCAGAATGAAGAATGTAGGCATGGTCACCTCATTCTTCAAATGTCCATCATTACAGCTGACATTCTTACTGTCTGGTACAGCCCCTCCTTGCAGTCTCTAATCAAACATTCAACTGTCTTGCAACATCTGTTTTTCCAAGGCACATTGGGGAAAACTTTATCTGAAGTTTGCTGTATGTTCTGTAATTCTCAAGAGCAGTGGCTGAAGCCACAGTAAAACCTCTGTCTGAAGCTGAGAGTACACACTGCCCCAGCTGCCCTCAGCACAGACTGTACTGTTAACACTGTGCCAAAGGTATCACTGTCCTGGCGTGGTCACTCATCTCTCTGTGCAGATGACTGCCACACATTTTGACCTAGACACTCAGCCTAATATAGTAGACTGAAAGCCTCCTCACAGAGGGAAGAAGATTATCGTAGAGCAGATTAAAGGCAGAGAACTAGACCCTCTAGAACCTCAGCTACCCTGATGAAAAGATACTAAATGGTCTGGGGGGAGGAGTAGGGTAGGAACAAAATACATCACTAGCCCTCTGCTTCTACATCTTGCATTTGAGTCTCAAGCTGGCTTTGTTTCCCCATCATTAGTCAGGCCTGACATGGCCCTGGTAAAGTGCTCACGCATGCCCCAGCTTCCATCACCAGAGAATACACCCATATAAACCCAAATTCCCAAGTCCCGAACTAACCAGTCACCCTATGTGTGCCCGCTCAAGAATAAATAAGCGTTGCTTTGAAAAGCTGCATATTTTAGTTCAGGACTGCATGGGGCACGCAGTGCAGACAACACTGGCACTGCACTCAGTCCCGGGGAGAGTGTCACCCGCCTCAGTGCTTCCTGAGGTGCTCTTTCAGCTGCGGGATGGAAGGCAGCAGCTGCTGACACTTGTGGCAACGGAGAGGCAGCTTCAAGAGTTCAGAAGTCCCATCTTTAACAGTCACTCCGCCAACTTCCTGAACCATCTTGATCACAGCTGCAAGCAAGAAGTAAAGTTCAGAACCCAGCTACTCTGCACAGCCAATAAGATGCTAAGAAGAAGGCTAAAACATAACTCTATTAACGTATCTGCTATCCTAAGGCCTTAGACTGAGAAAATGCACTTGACCAGACTCTCCTTCAGGACACACTCCATGTACCAAACATGGGCTTATCATCACGCTTTTCCCAGGTGGCTCTTTGCAAAATGGCAGCTGCCCCATTAACACCACAGTAGTACTGGTTACATAGAAAAACATCTGGGAAATGCTTACATCCCATATATACACAGTACTCATAAGCACCACTAACAGGAGAGAGCCCCAAACTCCTGCACAACTCCTTCCTGCCAGAGATGAAGAACTATTGAGATCCTCTCATCCAAGAACTCTGTTAGCACTTGGACATAAATTTCCCCCCCCCCCCAAAGCCTCATGCATTGCAAGTGTGGTCTCCAGATATTGATACTATTTGGAAAGTTGGTAGAAACTTTAGGAGGTGGGACCTAGCTGGAGAAGAGGTCACCGGAGATACCCTTGAAGCTGTGTTTTGTTCGAAGTCCCTTCCTGGGCCCTCTCTCCTCTTTCTCTCTCAATCTCTGGCTACCAATAAGTAGGCAGCTTTGCTCCCTGCCACCCTCTCTGTCAGTGTTCTCCCTCACCATAGGCCAGCAACAGAGCCACAGATTCACCCTCTTACAGGTATCCTGTCAGTGACAAACAGCAGAGGCTGGCTAGCACAGGCCCCAGCAACTCTCACATTCAGAACCAGCTCCCACACATCTTCCCAGAGAAGAGTCTAACCCAGCTGATGGGAACACATGGCATACTGGGCGGCATTAATGCCTCTGCCATCAAAATGAAACACTTTTGAGCCCAACATAACGGCTGACTGGGTCCTTCCAGGATGCTCACAGCAAAGTAGTAATCCTATTACAGTGAAATATCCTTGTTCATTCTAGGAGTGCCTGTTTTACAGAGATCACTACTGTATATGGGTCATTTGAGGCCAGGTAAAACATCTAAGAAAATAAAATGAGTTTTAAAAAGAAGAATAACACTATTTACCTTGTGATTCCATAAAGTATTCTGTATTGAAAGAATTCCAGTGTTTTTTGTTTTTAAGGCAAGGAGAATCAAAATCCTGGCTGATCACATGAAGGTGTACATGGCTAGTTGAAAGTTGAAAAATTGAGTATTAGAAACTATGGTTTAATCAAAATGACACAAGTTAAAGTATAGGTGCATAAAGTTATGATGCTGCACTCATTAAATGTAATATACCCATTCATTTAGTTGAAAAAAGATAAGTACTTGGGAGACAACATACATAGGGAACAAAGTGCTAGATACGTCTGCTGGCTGGTTTTATGTCAACCTGACACAAGCTGAAGTCATCTGAGAGGATGCAACCTCAATTAAGAAAATGTCTCCAGCCAGATGGTAGTAGCACATGTCTTTAATCCCAGCAGTCAGGAGGCAGAGGCAGGCAGAATCTATGTGAGTTTGAGGCCAGCCTGGTCTACAGAGCGAGTTCCAGGACTACATGGAGAAACCCTGTCTTGAAAAACAAAAGCAAAAACAAGAAAGGAAGGAAAGAAGGGAGGAAGAAGGAAGGAAGGAAGGAAGGAAAAAAATGACTCCTTAAGATCAGGCTGTATGAAAGCCTATGGGGCATTTTTAAATTATTGATTGATAGAAGAGGGCCCAGCCCAGCCCATTGTGTGGGGCCACCCCTGGGCTGGTTGTCCTGAGTTCCATAAAAAGCAAGCCTTGAGGAGCAAGTCAATAAGCAACATCCCTCCATGGCCTCTGCATCAGCTCCTGCCTCCAGGTTCCTGTACTGTTTGAGTTCCTGCCCTGACTTCCTTTGATGAAGAACAACAATATGGAAGTGTAAGCCAAATAAACCCTTTCCTCAGTCATGGTGCTTCCTCACAGCAACAGTAACCCTAATTGAGACACCATGCAAGCACAAAGACCTAAATGTAATCTTCAGCCCTCCGGTGAAAAGGCCAGGCACAGCAACGCACACTCTCCTAACACTGAGGAGACAGCTTGCTGGCCAGCCAAGCTAGCCAAATCAGCAAGCTCCAGGTTCAGTGAGTGCCCATGTCTCAAAAATTAAGGTGAAGGCTAGGTATGGTGGTACATACCTTTAATCTCAGTACTCTGAAGGAAAAGACAGCAGGGTCTCTGTGAGCTCCAGGGAAACTTGGTTTGCATAGCAAATTCCAGGCCAGCCAGAGCTACACAGTGAGACTTTGTTTCAATAAATAAATAAATAAGGGCTTCACACACACACAAATATTTAGTGCTTAGTAAGTACTCAATCAAACCTAGAACTGGGAATTTAGTAGTGAAAAAATTTAGAAAAGGACTCTGAGTCTAGAATAATGGCATTCTAACGAAGAAAGACAAATAGGCAAGAAAAATCCAAATCACTAAAGGTACCAGGCATGCTGGCACATGCCTTAATTTCAAGCTCTTGGGAAGTTGAAGTAGGATTCTAAATTCAAAGCCAGCCTGAGTTACACAGTGAAACCTGTCTCCAAAAAAAAAAAAAAAAAAAAAAAAAAGAATAACTAGTTGGAAAAGGGGATCAGTGGAAGTAGGAAGGGGCAAGAACAACAGTATATACATACATGAAAATGCCATAATGAAACCTATTATATATAATTAACTAATATAACTAATATATAATATAACTAATAAGAGAAAGAAATTAAAGGGAGGAAGGAAGAAAAGGGGAAGAAGACAGAAGTTGAGCTGCAGAAGAGGCTGCAGCTAGTTAATAGCGCCCAGAGAAGGCCTCTGCCAGGTAAAGCGAGAGCAGAGGCAATTGTATCTCAAAGTGTAAAGGCCAAATCCAAACTCCTGGGGCAAGAGGTAGCTTCGTGCAAACATGGATTACAAAGAAGGTGACATGGCCACAGTATATAACCAGAAATACTAGAGCCCAGGAGGAGGAATTCAGCAGGAGCCAGATCATAATGGGCCTAAAGGCCCATTATGTTTTATACTGGCTGCTTTAGGGAGCTACTGAGGAGTTTAAGCAAAAGACAATTTCCCACTTGTACCTTTAAAAGAGCACTCTGGCTGTTGGGAAAAGGGGATGGAGGGCATGTAAGATAGGGCATGGGGAGACCTGCTACAAGGCAACTGCAATAGTCAATGACAAAAACCAACACAGCTTACACTAGAGCTGGGATGTAAGAGAGATGACAAGACACAGCCCAATTTTAGTCAAGTTTTGGAAGAAAGCCAACAAGATTTACTAACTTTCTGGGTGCAATTTTGGGCAGTGCTACTTGCTGAGATGGAGAAAGGTACAGGGAAAGAACGTGCAGTTCAACCAGAGTTGATCAGGCTGAGCCGATGGCTCTGTTGATAATGTGCTTGTACTGCAAGCATGAGAAACTGAGGTTTGAGCCCTAGAACCCACATTTTAAAAAAACATGGTCATGAACACAGGTGAATTCCTAGGGTTGGCTGGCCAGCCTAGACTAATCAGCAAGTCCCAGGCCATTGAGAGTTCCTGTCTCAAAAAAAAAAAAAAAACAAGGTAGATAGATGCACCTGAGCAGGAAAGACACTTGTGGCTGACCTCTGACCTCCACATGCATGTATGCTTACACACACACACACACACACACACCAAAAAAAAAAATTTTTTTTTTTACTTTGGTAAACTAAGTAGAATGATTTTTTGTATAATTTACATTCTTTGAATTAGTAGTATTTCATTTTGAATCATTAATACTTTAAAGCTACCAGTATGTGTGAAGAAACCAAAATGGAATATAAGCAGTAATGAATAAGCAAATGAATAAAAATGGAGGGAACTCCACTGAAGATGGTGAAGAAAAATGAAAACTACTTTGGAAAACCATATTTTGGCTAGATGCCATAACACTACTGGGGGGGGGCGGGCAGGACTCTTCACAAATACTGTACTACAGCAGTAAATGTCTTTGCACAGGGTATGGGTTAGCAATTCTATAGCTATATTATACATATGCTAGGACTGAACACATAAGTGAACTCATAATGAATGACATCCAGTTTCTCACTGGTAGAGAAAGAAGGCACACAAAAGGGGGAAAACGAGATGCATGTTGCTTGTAGAGATGGGCTAGGAGGCATGGTACCAGCATGACCCAGAAGCTAAGCAGGGTCAAGTCTGGGAGGAGAACCAGCACTTACCCTTTCCCATTTGCATATACAAATACAAAGTCAGAGTTGGGGAGAGGGCTTAGGATGTGTGTGTGTTATTTTCTGCTCTACCACTGAGACAATGTAGAAATGAAGACACCCTAAAGTCAACTACTTCCCTCATTATGGAAACCTGGTATCTAGGCCTCATTGGGGATGATGAACCTGAGGTACCTTATAGGAACAGAAAATAAACCTTAAAAACTGTTAGGGCATGGAGAGACAAAGAAGCCAACAGGAGCTTTCAGTGACCAAAGATGAAACAATTTAAGCCTCAAAAAATTAATGATAAAAATTAAAATACTGAAGTAGAATTAACCGAATATCCATGAGATGAGCCTACACTTGAAACAAAGGAGAAAGCACAGCTTCCACACTCAACAGTCCAGTTCATACATTAGGCAGAGAAGCACAAAACCATCCCTGGGAAAAGAGCATAGTAATCAAATTGCCAGCAAGTACCATCAACAGAGCTCAGTCTGGTGCATCAAATTAGTAATCCCAAAACTAGGGAAACTGAGGCAGGATGACAACTCTGAGTTCAAAGTCAGCCTAAGCAAAACAGCAAGTTCCAGGTGGACCTGGATACAGAGTGAAGCCTGTCTCAAACAAAATAAAACTAAGATAAAAATCTACCAACAGATAATAAAATGATTAGTCTAAATTTGAGCAATAAGGTTGTAATAGTCTTAAAATAGTCATCAGTTAAAAAGGAAAAACAGTAACTGAGTGAAAAACCTTGGCAGGCAACCCCTCAACAAAATGACCAAGATAACACCATAGGACACAAGTCACCTCAACACCACACACCTCTGACTGATGAGAACACCACAGACATCACGATACACCCAAATAGAAAGAGATCTCCCTGCCAGGCATGAGCCTCACACCTAAGGCCAGCACTCATGAATTGAAGATAAGCCTGGCCATGTGATGAGTTCAGAGCCAGCCTGAGCCTCAAAGAAACCCAGCCTCAAAAATACAAGAAAAGACAGAGACGTTCTACAGTCAGTACCCATCAACGGTATCAAGGGCAGGACCTCAGACTGGAGGCTAAGGACAAAAAGTAAATGTTACATTAATCCTGAAGCAGGAAAAGAACATTTTAGCAAAAGCAGCTGAAATTCAAACAAGCGTAGCATTTAAGCAGTGGTGGTATTATAGCATGTATTTGCTTTGCTTCACATTTTACATTTTTTAATTTTCTAAATTAAAAATATTGCTTATAGTAGGAAATTTTATTTCCTTTGTTGTTAGGTTTTTTTTTTTTTTTTTTTTTTTAGGAAAGTGTTTCACATTTATTTAAAAATTCCATCATTAGTTGAGACAGTGCTTATCTAGCCTGCATGAAGTACTGGGTTGATCCCCAGCATTACATAAACCAGGCATAGTGGTCCATGCCTATAATCCCAACATATGGGAGATAGAGACAGGAGGATCAGGAATTCATGGTCAACCTTGGCTACAAATAAGTAAATAAAGAAAGATAAAAATAGAGAAACAAAAACATGCTTAATGACAATGAACTATGCTAAGGGCTGCAGAGATGGCTCAGCAGCTAAGAGCATCAGCTACTCCTCCAGTGGGCCCAGGGGCAATGCCCAACACCGACATGGCAGTTACAACATCTATAACTATAGTTCCTAGGGATCCCAGGCTCTCTACCAGCCTCTATGGGCACCAAGCACACACATGGTACACGACTATGTATGTAAGCAAAACAGCCATACACATAAAATAAAAATAAATCTCAAAAAAAATTGTCAGTGGTTAGCCAGGAACAATAGTAAACACCTGTAGCCCCAGCCTCAGGAAGCTGATGTGAAAAGTTCAAGACTGCCAGGCAGTGATAGCACACACCTTTAAGCCCAATGCTCACAAGGCACAAGTAGGTGGATCTCTGGGTCCAAGGCCAGCCTGGTCTACAGAGTGAGTTCCAGGACAGCCAAGCTACACAAAAACCCTGTCTCAAAAAACAAAACAAAACAAACAAAACAACTGTCTCAAAATAGTAAAAAAAATAAAATAAAAAGATTTTCAAATGTAAATTTTGTTATTTTAGTGTAGTTTTTTAAAAGCTGGGACTGAGGGTATATACCTCAGAGGTGCAGTCCACACATTATCTTATTGCTTGGACCAAATAACTTGAATGAATTTGTCCTACATGCACACTGTGAGGGAAAAAATAATCATTCTGCTCCAAATCCTTCTGCAAATTAAGCCAACAAAGAGCAAACCCACACTTTCTCCTCATTTTATTTGAAATTGTGCACATTCTAAGCTTATAGGTGTATGATGTTTTGTTTCCTTTAGAGCAATAGTCCTTAGTCATTTAGGAGTTATAGATAACTCCAAGAATTCTAACAAGCCCCTGACAAGTCCTCATCTACTTCATCTAAGTTTGCATGTTAGAAGCTCACATTTTGAGCTGGGCATTGGTGGCACACGCCTTTAATCCCAGCACTCAGGAGGCAGAAGTAGGTGGATCTCTGTGAGTTTGAGTGCAGCCTGGTCTACAGAGTGAGTTCCAGGACATGCTCCAAAGCTACACAGAGAAACCTTGTCTAGAAGAGGAAAGGGAAAAAAAAGCTTACATTTTGAGAGAAATTAAAAACTTCAAGGGACTGAATTACAGGCAGAAGCAGGAACTTGGGCTCACAGGCAAGTCAGGCAGGTGCAAGATTCAGCCTACCTGCTCGGAAGCAATCCACCTTCCCTGGGCCTAGAGACTACTCTCAAGTTCATGCTGATCACATGGGCCAAAATGAAGAGCACCATCCCACCCCAATGCTTACCTCATGCTGGGAATGGCATGGTAACCCAACCGGAAGCTCAGTTTGCTGGATCCAGCGAAATCTGCAATCACCTTTTCCCCTACAGTGTGCATATGTTTGAGAAGTTCAAGGTGTTCACTGGTCACAGCCTTCAGACTGGAAATGGAGGCCCATGGTAAGACCAGCCAATGGTAACGGGCCTTGGGATATTTATCCTTAATCACCACTACCAGATCATCTTTGTAAACCTAGCAGGGAGCACATAGAAAGGAAAGAGATGTCAGCTGAGGATCTTTGTGCATGTGCTATCATACTCATTCGGTCACTGAAACACAAAACCTTGTGCAAAAAATGTTAAGACTTGAGAGCATCTTACACCAGTCACATTACACGGTGAGGAGTCAAAGCCTGTGTTTTCAAACACCACACTACGTAGGACACAGAGAAGATACACAGTACTAAAAAGTTCTCAAGGCCTCATGTTAAATATCCACAGGTAGAGTTCAGCCACAGCCTCTCTAACACAGACTGGGCTGCATGTGTGTGGATTTCAAGAAGCCCTACCTGAAGCAGACCTCAGAGGCTTCTCCAAGGATGGTGCTTGATTTCTGACATGAAGCCAGTTGTTACAATAGTTACCACACATTATCTGATGATCCCCTCAAAGGGAGCATGCTCAGCTTAGCACTATTTCTTTTTTTAATGTTTACTACTTATTGGAGGAAATCACAGGACAAGTTAAGGAGTTTGTTCTCTCCTTCTACCGTGTTGATTCCAAGGATCGAACTCAAGTCATCAGCCTTGGCAGCAAGCAACCTTACCCACTAAGCCATCCTGCTGGTCCAGTTTCTCTTAACAGAAGACAATATGTTCATCTGAAGACCTCCAGTCACTACTTTTAATTTTTTTTTTTTATAAAACCACTTTATTGTAACAAACTCACAAATAAAAACCACCACACAGCTAGACAAACACTTGCCCATAACCAAATGCTATACATCTCATTAACTTTATATGGCTAGAATGGCTATTCTGTGGAGCTTCACTTGGGGTTTAACACTTTCATTATCAATTACAATTTTATGCATTTACCTGCCACAAAAAAAAAAAAAGAAAAAGAAAAAGAAAAACTAAGACAGAGTTCAAACTAGAGAAACAATTAGTTTATATGTTCTTTCATGATTCATGTGTCCATCAACAGATGAATGGATAATGAAAGTGTGCTATACATACAAGACGGAGTAATATTTAGGAAATCAGAGACTGGGTATGGAGTTTGAGGACAGCCTGGTCTACATAGCAAGTTTTAGGTGACTCTGGTTAAGAGCACTGGCTTCTAGAGGTTCACAGTGATCCTGTAACTCCAGTCCCAGGGGTTTTTCCTTCTTCTGGCCTCCTCAGGCACCAGACAGACATGCAGACAAAACACCCTACACATTAAATAAACCAATAAAAATGTTTTTGAAAAATGCAATCACAAAATCTATAGGAAAATGGATGGACTTAGAAATTATATTAAGGTAACCCAAATTCAGAAAGAAAAAACCCCACTGTGCTTCATCTGTGGCTCCTAGCCTATAGTGTATGCATGGATATGTGGAAACAGCACTAAGTGTGAGTATGACACGAAGGACAGAATGTAGGCAAAAGGAAGAACCTAGAGACTACTTAACACGAATGTGGAAGCCACTTGTCCTCACAGAAAGTCCAGTAAATCAGAGTCCACTAAAAAGAAATTACATCCTTTGGGTTCATTTATAATTACCAATTCTGTAGAATGGCCATGTACAACATAGCAGACATTTAAAAATTACAAAATTTTATTCTGACCTGCATTTTGGGGTCTTTCATAGAAATCTTCAAGCCTTGAATCCAGTGGCCCAGTGATCCCTAAATAAAAAAGAACGTAAATATATATGCCAGTAATTAAGTGTAACTAATACTGCATGACAGCCAAGCCCAAATAAAACATGGAAATAATGTCAGATTTTGAGAATTAAACTTCCTTTACTTCAGTCTATTGCCCTTAGGACCACAAGCCTCTGTGTTGTCTTCCTATATTTATAACTGGGGTAAGGACGGAGGCCTATTGTGGAACAATGCTCTGTGTGCAAGGACTGTGGTCCAAACAAGAGCAGCTACCATTACCTGGACAAGACTGGGCCAAATAACATTCCCTTGTTGGGGGACAGGGAGGGCTCATGAAAGGGCACATGAGGCCCCTCCTCTCCCAAAGGATACACAAGCAGCTAACAGCTGTTGGAGAGGGAGACTCCTCTTTGATGGGGCAGCAACCCATAAACTGCCTCTAAGTAACCACGATTAAACTCGCTAGTTCACCAAGTTAGACATCTACTCACATCTCCCCAGGAAACGTTCCATAAAGCCTAAGCTGCCAAAGTATAAATCAGCCTTCTTTGCCCTCTCACACTCCAGCTGCAGCCTAGCCAAGTTTCTATTTTGACATTAACATGTGAACTACATATCTATGTAGTTTACATAACAGGTAAACAATCAAATGACCCATTTTAGGGTTCAACGTTAACTACACTACATGGGAAGTACAGGAAACCCCTAGTAACTATGTGAGAATGGATGAAGTCTTGAATGCATGTATGTTGTTGACATGACCAGCCATGTCAAGGACCTCAGTGCCTAGACCCACAGAAATGGCAAAGCCTTCCCAGGGTGAGGCCCCAAGGGATGGCAAAGCCTTCCTCTGATCCTAGTACCACTGTTTACAAATGGCTGGACAGTATATGCAGAAACTATCAGCCTCAGCTTCCTCCTTCCAGATGTTTACAGACTGAGACACCTGCCTCCTCGACTCAGATTTAAAATAACCAGGCTGAGCTTCTGGGCTGCTGTTGACGGTCCATCCACTAAAGAGCACAGATCACCTAATCCCAGCTTTTCTGTGTGTCTGTTTGTCCTTTCTTCATTCCCTTGCTGCCGCAGTTAGGTCAATCCCTAAGTTTACTGACTGCCCTGTCTTCCCTCAAGTAGTTTACACCAGAAATTTAATAGAAAAGCATATAAAGAGACATTCACCAAGTGATTTTCAGGCCCCAAACAAGTGACTCTTTCATCATGGTTAACAACCCTCATGATTAATACCACCTCCTGTGTCTGAGCTTTATAGTGTACAAAACAATTAAGCAGTCATTATCTCGCATTTCATCTCCACATCATCTATCAATCACACTATTCTCACCTCTTTGGTGACTCCATCCTTGCCCTTCTTAGGAGGCACAGAGCACTGGCTGGGACTGCTCCCAGGGGCTAGCTCTGCCCCAGACTCAGCCTCCTGAGCAGTATCCTCCTCCTCACCATCACAGTCTGACCTCTTTCTCTTCCTTTGTGTTTCTAGGTCAGGACTCTTTGCTACTTCCTCAAACTCTACAATGTATGGATAAAGTTCATTCACCATGTGGAGAACCTGGCCAGGCTGCAGCTTCATCTCGTGGTCCTTCCCAATGATGACTGAGTCAATGCTGGTGGGATTGACCCCCACCTGTGGATACACAATCACAATGTAAGTACAGCAGCGAAAATGCCATCAGTGATAGAGATATTGCTGTATTAACCACTTACTGCAGTCACCCACCTACAGTTCACTAGCTAGCACAGTCTAAAGCAACAGCATAAGAAAACTATCAAGTAATAAACGGAAATCCCAGTCACAAACACACATACCTGCTTTACTCTGACATAGCCTTTGTTACACTCTGCTTTCAACTGTACTGAAAGACATAAGAAAACATTAAACCCAGATGCAACCAGAACCAAGGTACTCTGTTTTCCCTAAAGGACAACAAAGCCTGACTGCTACAGGCAGCCCACAGATGAGTCTGATCTGCATGTGCCTGGATCTACAAATCCTACCAACTTCTAACAGCTTCAGACCCATCCAGAAAATGTCCATCAGTGAGCTGAGCACGGTGGCACATGCCTGTAACCCCAGACTTAAGAAGTGGAGTCAAGATCAGGAGTTCAAGGCCAGCCTTTACTGCATAGCCAGTGTATGAAGTCAGTCTTGAATATGTAACAACTTAACCCCCATTTCTCACCCCAAAAAACAATTTATATTAATGCATGTACTCCCTTAGCTACTGATGAAAACCTGGACAGAGGGGACTCTGGATAGATGACTCACTGGCTAAGAGTACTTACTGTTGCTTTTTCCAGAGATTTTGAGTTTGGTTCCCTGCACCCCCATTGGACAGCTCATTAGCAACTTTGACCCCAGTTCCAGGGGACTCTGATGCCTCTGGCCTCCAAAGGGAATTGCATTTAAATACACCCACACAGAGACACACATATAATTTTAAAAATAATAAAAATAAATCTTATAAGCAAATAAATGCTCAATGCCTTTCTCTTTTTTGCAACTAACTGTAGTGGTGCACACCTTTAAATCCCAGCATTTAAGAGGCAGAGGCAGGTGGATCTCTGGGAGTTCAAGGCCAGCCTGGTCCATATAGTGAGTTCCAGGACAGCCAAGGTTACATAGTGAGACCCTGTCTCAAACAAATAGAAATAAAAAACTTTGAGGCAGCTTTCATGAATCCCTGCAGCCTCCTGTGACAGAACCCCTAGCCAGCTCAGGATTACCCCTACACTTGCTGCTGTGAGGAGGAGACAGACAGAAGCAGCAGTAGTTTGATACTCCAGCACACTTGAACTAACTCACACAAGAAAGTCCATACTCACTGCTAAGGCCCCAACTCTGAATCCAGAACCTTAGTGTTCTGTGGTCACACTGCAGGCAGGCAGGGGTGAGCATGCCCACAGTTTACAGGAAAATGTGTGTGTGTGTGTGTGTGTGTGTGTGTGTGTGTGTGTGTGTGTGTATGCGTGCGTGCGTGCATGTACACACACCTGTGTACATGTGCATGTTCAGCTTTTCCCTTAAAACTTATGAAGGACAAGATGTCACAGTCTTACAAAGATCTACCCTCTGTGTTAGGCAGTACATAAAGGTTGGCACCATCCCCATTGCATCTCAGACACAGTTTCAGCTTGGAGATTCCACAATTTGTCTTGCTGTTCAATGCATAACCCCTGGGCAAAGCAGGGTCCAAGACTCAATCCTGCCGCTCCAAGGTAACAGGATAACAGCCACCTATTCCCATACCTTACCTAAACCTGCCTTAAGTGTTACTAAGTAGTGAAGGCATAATCCAGTATGAACCAGCCCTGGTGTTAGCTAGAAGAACACAATTTATGAGCCTTATTTGGGAATATAATAGGTTTTCCAGCAAGAACACTAGGAAATGTGTATCACTGGTTATCATTATCCCCCATAACTAAACACAGTCATTCCCATCTTCCTATGACCAGTTAGTTACCTTGTTGTCGGGAACATTTCTTATCTGTGATCTTGGTCTCTGGGCTTCGACCAATCACAACTGCTTCCAAATGGGGAAGTTTGATTCGCTGATGCTGGCAGTCCTGTCTCACCAACCAGCACACCCGCTTCATCGCTCTAAAACAAAAGAGGATCACTGGAGAACAAATCACCCAGGCCACGCCCAGCCTCACCACAACACACCACACACATGACTGTGAGGGTGTTCACAGAGGCAGCTGACTTCACCTTCCTAGTCTCAACTTCCTCACCTATAAAGCTGTGATAATGACAGGGCTCAGGATGATGAGTGAGATAATGCAGGTAAACATTTACCTCTGCCAAACATGCTAAGCATTCAAATATTTGTTACACATCTGTTGATCTCCTGTGCTGGGCATTAGGTTACATGCAGAAGGTCCCTCAGAAGTGAGTAAAAGACTGTTCCTGTAACTTGAGGAGCTTGAAGTAGGATATATGAGCAGTCATTTCATACACTAGTTACTGTAATATGATCTAAGCACTGTAAGAGAGTAACCAAATGTGACATTAGCCCAGTGATAGGACTGACCCTTGAGAGTATTAAAAAGGTTTCATGAAGGATATGTATACAGGGTTTGGGGTTGGGAAGGAGTGTGTCTGTCAGAGAACCAAGAATTAAACAATGAAGATGTAGACCAAGAGAGATGGTTGAGCATTAAAAGCACTCACAGCTCTTCAAGAGGGCTCACACTTGGTTCCCAGCACACACACATCACAGTTCACGACCATGTGTAATTCCAAATCTAGGGGATCTAACATCCTCTTCTGACATCCAGGGGCACTACACACATGGTGCACTTAAATATATACAAGTAAAACACTCATACACACAAATCTCAAAGAAAACAAAGTTCTTCAGATGTCTGGTATCTTTATATTTATCCTCTCTCCTCTCTTCTCTCCCCACCCCCCTTTTGTTGGGAGGGAAAGGATGTTGAAGCCAGGGCTTTGCACATGCTAGACAAGTATTGCTCCACTAAACTACATTCCTAGTCCTTTAATCCTTACTTTATTTGAAAGAGAGCATGTCTATGTATGCATGTGCTTATCAGTATGTGAACCACATGCATGCAATACCTGCAGAAGCCAAAATGACATGAGAAATCCCCTTAACTAGAGCACAAGCCATTGTGAGCCACTATATAGGTATAAATGCACTAGCTGCTAAGTCATCTCTCTAGCACTTTCTTATCTTTTTTCTTTTTCATTTTAGTCAGGGTCTCACTTCAGCACTGGCTAGCCAGGCACTTGCTGTGTATATGATCTGCTGGCCTCTGTCTCCTACTATCAAGTTTCAAGCTAGCCACGACTGCATAGGGAGATCCTGCTCAAAAACAGGAGGAGGAAGACACATCCAGAAGAGACACTTATCTTCTGGTGCCATTTGGAAAATATCAAAGGAGTGAAGAGAGGTATCAAACAAAAGATTTCTAATCTAGCCAGACATGGTACATGACTTTACCCCAGCACTAAGGAAGCAAAGACAGGTAGATCTCTGTGAGGTCTAGGCCAAGCATGTAATGGCTACATGAGACTCTGTCTCAAAAAGTGGGGGAGGGTCCTAATTTGGAAGATGCCACTAGATGAAATGAAGAATTTATAGGAAGATACTATTTAGAAATGGAGGTGAAAAATCTGGAGACACAGTTCAAAGGTTAAAAGCACATGCTGCTCTTGGACAGACACCAAGTTTGATTCTTTGCTCCCAAGTCAAGCAGCTTACAAGTGGCTCCAGGGGATCTGACACTTGTGGCCTCTATGAGCACCTGGATTCACCATCTACCCACCCCCTCCCCTGACACACACATAATTAAAAATAATAAAAATAATTTTTTCTTTTAAAAAAAAAAAAAGACAAAGAAGGAGCAACTTCATATTGGTTCCCTTGGTGTGGGGTGGTGAGTTTCGGCTTTGTATGTTTGCTTGTTTGGGAGGGGTGCTGCCTTTTGTGAGAGAGAGGTGGGGGTGTGTATACTGGGAACCAAACTCAGGGCCCTGCCCTTCCTAAACAGGCAGTCTGCCACTGAGCTCCGTGAATTTTACATCAGAGTACAATTAGCTGACATGGCTTGTGGAAGCTCCACGGACTTCAGTCAGAATGGACTGACTGAATGTACTTAACAGGCATCGGCATGTCACAGAAGCTGAAACAAAGAAAAAGGATGAGGTGACCCAGGAAGGCAGAAGACAGAGTCAGGACAAGACGAGAACTAGGTCTTCAGGGTGTCTCTCTAGCCTCTAGAGCAGTGCTTCTCAACCTAATACTGTGACCCTTTAATACAGTTCCTCATGCTGGATAACCCCCAATCATACAATTATTTTTGTTGCTACTTCATAACTGTAAGTTTGCTGTTATGAATGGTAATGTAAATATCTGATATACAGGATATCTGATATGTGACCCCTGTGAAAGTGTCCTTCAAATCCCAAAGGGGTCGTGATCCACAGGTTGAGAACTGCTGCTCTAGAACCATCAATGCTCAAGCTTCTAACACCTGGAGGAAATCTTGCCTCTTCCCAAATTGTACACATGCCCTTTGCCCAAGTGCTATATTCAGAAACACAGAAAACCATATTCTCAAAAATAAGAATATTACCATCTGCAAAGACAAGACAGGGCAAGGCAGAATGAGCTAGAGGTACACAATCTCAGGAATTGATTATTGGTAGCACCTGCAGGCCAAAGAGGTTCAAAGTTCTCTGTCAGTCAGGAAAGGTTTCCAAAACCACCCAGTCAGAGAAGGCCAGGAGCCCAGGCAACTGAGTAGTCAGGATTTCACAAGGAAGAAGGCAGCCTGGGCCACACCAGGGATGCTGCCTCAAGAGTCACCCAAAAAGAGGACAAAAATTAATGAGAAGCTGGGCTTCAACATAATGGGCAGCAGACAATGGCATCTGTTTGTACTTGCTACAAAGTGAAGGATGGGCAGGCAATAGACAGAGAAGTGAAGCATGTCCTCACTGGGCACTGAGAAACAAGCCATATGATTGACTACTTCCTCTGACAAAGAAGCCATCAAACAGTGCAGCTTCTGAGTAGGAACAGAGAAGGTCCAATAGACAGCTAGAAACATGACAAGACAATGGAAATAGCCCTCCCTTCTACCACAAACATACACACATTTTATTCCCTGGAGTTCTTAAGTGATGATGTTCCAGTGCACTACACCCCCTGGAAAGCTGATGCAGTGACAGCACAATGCTCACACAATAAGCCTTAAAACAGTCGGTTGGCCCATTTGGCCCTAACTCATAGAAAATGACTTCAGAACACAGCCAGACCCTCCAGTAAAATTCCATAAACTGTAAGCATCATGCCCACTTTAGCACTGTATCCCCATGTTTATTACTTGGCATATAGCAAGGCTACAATAAATCAGCAAGCTTACAATAAATGTTTGCAGATAACTGATCAGATGACAATCCTTTATTTCTCAGAGTTCCTCTTGGCTTCCTTGATACAGAGTCTCACTATGCAGCTCTGGCTGGCCTACAACTTGCTATATAGGCTAGAACTGTTTTAAACTCACAGAGATCCACCTGCCTCTGCCTCCCAAGTGCTGAGATTAAAGGTATACACCACCACACCCGTGGATTCCTCTTCTTAAAGTACAATTCCCCAAAAGAGGAGCAGCTCATTCTACCATTCCATCCACTTCTGCAACGGTCTATTTGCTAAGTATACCACCACTATCGTATACCATTCCCTGATTAATTCTGATTCTTAGGGAACCCAAATGACCTGAAGATGACATGAGGCCAGAAATCTATCTGGAAACACTGCTAACACAAGAATTTTCTGGAGTATACCCTGACCATAAATAAATTAGCTACAGCTGACAACTGAGCTTCTGGGATGCCACTAGCACAACTAGGAACTGGACTTTATTGTTGTTGTTGTTTTGTTTTGTTGTTTTGTTTTATTTTTCGAGAGGCAGAGTTTCTCTGTGTAGCCCTGGCTGTCCTGGAACTAGCTCTGTAGACCAGGCTGGCCTTGAACTCACAGAGATTCACCTTCTCTGCCTCCCACTGCCTCCTGAGTGCTGGGATTAAAGGTGTGCACCATCAGTGCCCAACTGGATTTACTTTAGACTTTGTTCTCAAGTTATATAACCACAAGTGGTTGTGGACCACTAACGTCCAACACAGACTTAATTTAAGACTCTGAACTTCTAATTGCTCAAAGGTTACTCATTTCACAGAACTGACCCCACTGACCAACCTCTCTCCTCTCCCTGCTTTACCTCCCAGACACACAGGCATCCTTACCCGAACACACATCCTTCAAGAATAACATGCTGCAGCCTGACTCCTGAGTAAGGTATTCTAAACATGATATTCTGGTATTGACTTATCCTCCTCTCCTAAAAAAAAAAAAAAAAAAAAAAAAAAAAAAAAAAACCTAAATCTTAGTCAGATTTCAGGTCCAGTCTCCTCCCTAAGGCCAATGGAGTTGTCATCTTTCTTGCACATCTTACTGGATATAGTACAATAACTTTCACAGTTCTGATAGCCTTGGGAACAGACTCCCTACTACCTTCCCCTTCAAGAAACATGGAAAAGAGGTCCCTGGAGAACACTGCTGTGGGCAAGTGGTTTTATGTCCCAGGGTCCCAGGTGTTCAGCATAACTTATTAAGAGCACACTACATAGTAGGCCCTGTGCTAAATGTCTCATTTACATGGTTTTCACTTTCAATCTATGGAAAATTAAGGCTTAGACAAACAAGTACCATGTCAAGCAACAAAGACACTGTATGCCAGAGTTAGGATTTGAACTCTTTCCAAAAATTAGGTTCTTAACCACTACATGTTTCGGGGCTCACTCATTCAATCAATCAAGATTATTTCATGCTATTCTAGAACTGGCAACCAATGGTGGATATGTATGTTCTTCATTCAAAAACCTCACAGAAGACCCTGAAAAATTATAATCGGTGTGGTATGTCTTGCTTGTAGAGAGGTATAATGGAAACACAAACCTTTAATATCATGTGACAGAAGGTTTCCTGAAGATGGTATAAGCACAGTCTTGTAGACTTGAATAATTTGGCAGAAACAGGCAATCTAATTGAGAAATAAGAACCAGAAAATGTAATTAGGAAGACAAGTCTTAGGCAATGGGAACAACAAGGGCAAACATACAGAGACACGGCACACTGTGCACAGGGAAGCTAAAGCTCAAGGCAGATAAGGGACTAGAGACCTCAACAAGGTCCACATGATGCAGAGTTCCGGTGACTTGCTGACAAGCTGAAAATTTTCAAGTTTCAATAGAGTTTGTAATTCAGTAGACAACAAAAGTTGTTTGAAAGAACAAATATGTTAGCAGACAAATTGTGAATGACCAAGCAGAAACTGAGCAAAGATTTCCTTACCAAGATCACCATGGGAAGAAGTATAAAAACCAAATATGCACTGCTTCCCCCACATGAGAAATTCTGTATAAAGATTTCTATGCAAAGGGCTGTAATCTCAGTACCCAGGAGACACAAGCAGGGGAACCAGAAGTTTGAGGTCAGACTAATCTACACACTGAAAAAGAAAATTTACCAAGGCCCAGCGGCACAGGCTTGTATCTCATCGCTGGGAAGGGGAGACAGGAGGCTCAGAAATTTGAGGCCAGTTGGGCTAAATGAGCCCTAGTCTCAAATTAAGTGGGGAGAGAAGGGCTGTAAGAAATCCCCAATATATGTCAAATTCTCAAAAGTAATTCCCCATCAATTCCAAACGGACGGAACTTGAAATACCCCTGCTTTGTTGACCCACAGTCTCCACACTGTTTGAGAAAGGCCTGGCTGCTTCCGGCATTCCTGAGGACACTGCCGGAACACCTCAAAGTACTCCAGGAAGGCGTTCTGGGCAAAAACACTTTCCTGACAAGCTCCACAGCCGGGTTGGCATGGCCAACTAAGTACAGGAGTCCAGTGGGGGGTGCGGGAGGGGCAGTGGAACAACGGGGCGGAGACTAACACTCCTCCTGAAACACGCCCACCGGAGAAGCGCGAAAGGGTGGAGCCTGGCCCGTCCAAAAGGAAGCCTCGAACTAGACACGCAAGGGCCGCCGCTCCGGGTTAGCAGCCCAGGCCGAACGCCCCTGCCGGCTTCTAACCCAACCAGCAGAGGAAGCAGGCAGACCACGAGCTCACCTCGACTGAAGACACCCACAAACCCGTTCAGCACTCCACTGCGCCTCGACGCTTCCGGTGCTGAAAGATGACGTCATAAAACGGCTGCCTAGCAACCAGTGATGATTCCTCTGTGTCTTCGAGAATTAGCTGAATCGGTCTCTTGCCCGATACCCAGGTGGTTCCTACCAGCTAGTTGTTCCCCATGAGGAGAGCTTTGCCTTCTCTGAGGCATCTATCTGGCTATCACTGCCTTCCAGTCTCAGAATCGGGAGAGATTTCAGGCAGCAATCTCCTGTGGTTTATGTACGCAGTTGTGTCGTCTCTTGACACTTCCTCTGGAAGCTTGCTACATTTTAAGACCATCTTTGACAGGGAAGGAGAGAACGAGGTTGGAGGTAGTGAGACAAAACTCATTCTGTAACCCAAGCTGGCCTTGAACTCGCCAAAATCCTCCTGCCTTAGCCTCCCCGGTGCTGGGATTGCAGGTGTGAGCCACCAAACCAGCCTTGAGGACTTCGTTTAAACTGCAGGCTGGACTGCCTTACCACCCACGTTCAAATTACACTTTTCTTTCTCCCTTTAAGGAGAAGACTTAAGAGAGAGACAGGGAAGCCTGCTAAGATTTTTTTTTTTAATACTGTCTTCACTAAATGATCTGAGGGCAATCAGAAAAGCAGGAGGTTGGGATGACATATTTGTACAGATTTTTATAGTAATTCCAGGACGTTCCCTAAAAGTCTTAAATTGTAAATCACCAAAGACATCTTGGCAGATGAAAGAATTCCTATCTCATGAGTAAAACCGGAGTGTAGAATCTTAAACACAATAGAAACTGAACCTTAAGGAGTACCCCCCCTTTTTTTTTTTTTTTTTTTTTTTTTTTTTTGGTTTGGTTTTTTAAACAATGTCTCACTGTTTACCCAAGAGTGGCCTCAAACTCAAGATCCTTGCCTCTACCTCTGAAATGCTGAAGTCACCGGCCTTCACTGCCACGTTCAGCAAGGAGCACTCTGTTTCTTAATCAAAATGAGTTACTATTTCCATCTTGGAAAGGCAGACTCCACTATCTGATGGAGCTGACAAAACAGGATAGGAGGATGTTCCAGGGAGCAAAGGAGATGCTTTTGTCAGAGGAGAACATACAGATGTATATTAGGATCAGAGCAGAAAGGGAGGAAGCTGTATAAGCCTTAAGGCTGAGAATGTGGTTCACAACTGCTTAAGATACCAAGGCACCTAGGTGGCCTGACAGTTTGAGTTTCTCTCAGGATTACGCCTCTTAGCCAAGGCTTCTACCCAGCTGTGTCTCTTACAGCTGAAAGATGAACTGGATCACTTGTACAAAATTGGACAAGGTTTTCATAGCCAGCATATTAGATCTAACCCATTGTCTACAGTGCACTGACCAGAAAAACAAGGCTGTTTGGAACAATGCATGGCTAAGGGCATGGCATGCACTTAAGACATTCACTGGTTTCACATTGTTAGGGAACTAAGCGCCATAAATTTTTCAACTTCTCGATGAATCAAACAACTACTAGTTTCTACCTCCCTAAAGCCCTACTAATCTGCTCTTAGCCTCCATGGGGTTGACAATTCTGGAAAATATCATGTAAGTGAAATCATATAGCATTTGTCTTTTGTAACTGATTTCATTTCGCTTGGTGTCAAGTTTCATCTATACTGTAGCTCATGTCAAAACTTCCTTTTTAAAGTTAAAGTTTTTCTTTGAATTTTTATTTATTTTGAGTAGTCTTTCCTTTATAATTTATTTTTGTGTGCATGGGTGTTTTTCATGCACATATGTCTGTGCACCATGTGTGTGCCTTGTGCCTGGTACCTGGGGAGCTCAGCAGAAGGCAGATCCCTGGACTGCAGTTACAGGAGGTTGTGAGCTACCATATATGTTGGGAATAAAACCAGAATCTTCTGGGGGACTAACTAGTGTTCCTACTGCTGAGCCATCTCTCCAGCCCCATATTATTCTTTCTTAGTTGCCCTCCCCCCAGCCCCCATCTCCATATTTTTAAAGACTGGGTCAGGCTGGCCTTAAAAGCTGACCTTGAATTCCTGATCCTTCTGCTTCAGTTTCCTTTTAGTTTTGTCTTGCTTTTGAGACAGGATCTCACTATGTTGCTCTGGCTGTCCTGAAATTCTTTATCTAGACCAGGCTGGCTTCGAACTCACAAATTAAATTCTGTCTCCCAAGTGTTGGAATTAAAAGTATGCACACCATACCCAATTTTGCTTTCAGTTTTCCAAGTGCTGGGATTATAGACATGTTTGACTATTGATCTATTGATGGATATCTTTTGGTTGCTCTTGCCTTTTGGCTATTGTGAATAATGCTATGTTTATGCATATGGATGTTCAAAACATCAAGATCTGCCTTCAGTTACTTTGCAAAGTGGGCTTGTTGGGTCACGTGGCACGTGTGGGCACGTGTGTGTTAGTGTGTCCTAGTGGATCACGCTCCACCTGCCTTTTGTTTTCTTTTTCTCTCTTTTTTTTTTGTTTTCTTTTTGTTTTTTTTTTTTTGTTGTTGTTGTTTTTTGTTGGTTTGTTTGTTGCTTGTTTTTCAAGACAGGGTTTCTCTGTAGTTTTGGAGCCTGTCCTGGAACTAGCTCTTATAGACCAGACTGGTCTCAAACTCACAGAGATCCACCTGTCTCAGCCTCCCAAGTGCTGGTATTAAAGTGCATGACAACTGCCAGCATCCACCTTAATTTTTAAGATAGAATCTCTCACTGAACCTGGAGCTCACAGGTTAGGTTAAATGAGCCCATGAGCTGCACAATGTTCTTATCTGCCTCCCCAGCACTGGGATTATAGGCACAAGCTACTACCCTGGCCTCTTTTACATGTGTCCTGGTGCCTCTGGGACAAGCCTTTTACCAACTGAGCCATCTTCCCAGCCCTGGTCATTTTATTTTTAATACTTTGAAAACTTCCATGGTGCTTTCCATAGCAGCTGCATGGTTTTACATTCCCATATTGGTGCCCAGGCACTATTTGTCTAATGCTTGCCAAAGCTTGTTATTTGTGGCTGTTTTCATTGTTGAAAGCAGTTGCCCTCACCCACAGCTGGGTAATGTCTCAGTGTGGTTTTGATTTACAATTCCCTGATAATTAGCAATGTTGCTCTTTTTATATGATTATTTTCCATCTGTGTATCTTTGAAGAAATGTCCAACGCTTTTGATCATCTTAAAATCAAGCTAATATTTGTGTCATATTGTAGGAACTTTGGGGGCTTGATGATAGAGCTCAGGGGTAGAGCATTTGCTAAGAATATGTGAGGTCTTAGTTAAGTCACAGCATCTCTCTCTCTCTCTCTCTCTCTCTCACACACACACACACACACAATGTAGGACTTTTTACATACTCTAGATGTTACCCTCTGATTAAATTGGCCAGTGCTTCTTCCCATTTTTCAGGTTGCCTTTTCAGGGTGTTAACTGTAACATTAGATGCACAGGAACTTTTTATTTTGTGTCTAACTTACCTGCCTGTAATCTTGCTGCCTCTGCCTTTGGTGTCAAGTCTAAGAAACCATTGCCAAATGTGCCATGAACTCCGGAGCTTTAGATAGTATGTTAGGTCTTTGGTTCATTTTGTGTTTGTTTTTTAGACTGTATAAAGCAGAAGTCCAGCTGCATCTTTTCCTCTGTTTATCTGTTTTCTCAACACCATTTACTGAAAAAAAACTATTCTTTCCCCTTGGTGTGTCATCCTTGTTGAAAATGCGCTTGATCAGGTGTGTAAAGACTTATTTCTGGGGTTTCTGATCTGTCTCCTTTGTATAACTGTGTCTGTGTGCTTGCTCCAGAATCACAGTTTTAAATACTACAGCTTTGTGATGGTGTTTGAAATCAGGAAATGTGAGAATCACCAGCTTTGTTCTTGTTCAAAC